TCTATTTTCTAATGGTGGTGTGTCTATTTGTAGGATACACTCGCGTCTGTTTATTGAATTTTATGGTCCCTTTCTTTGATGGTGCTTGCAGGTTTTCTAGGTAGAAATTATTTCATTATTATAATAAAACAATGTTTGATTCAAAATTTGAACAAAATTGTTTTAAAGAAATTGTCTGTATACCAGTACAAGTTTATTGTTTCAGTATACTCGTACTAATAAAATAACAGTGCCAATTGCAAACGTGTGCTTTGTCTTTATGAGTTAGGACTGAATGCGAGGGACCTTCCCTAGGGAAGTAATTTGCCCAATTTAATTCCTCCCCCACCCCAGCAAAGCATTTTACAGCATTTGCTTTCATTCGCGACGATGCAGAAATGCACATGTACCCATCCATGGCCATAAAACCCTCTCCAGACAATCAGAGTGAAGCTCTTTATTGCATAACAAAAACTTTACAACTTTTGAACACTTTAAATGATCGTGCTGCACACACCGCAGGTGTTGGCGCACACGCGGTTGCTACAGAGGAGGGGAGGCAGCGCTCGTCATCGCCATCGCAGCAGGGCCGAGTGGGGCAGAAAAACATCTAACGCTCATCAGCTCTTTTTGGCCAATTATGCAGAAGCGCTTCACAGTAATCGCAGGCAACACCAAGGAGTTCTGGACTCTGAATTGTTTATTTATGTACGAAAACTTCAACCAGTAAACATGGTGTCAAGCAAATGCCGGGTAGGGCTCGCTTAGACAGCTGAATGACCACAAGCGAAGCAAAGGCTGTGGGGGGTGGGGGTGGTCCGTGCTGTGTTTAGGGGCGCATCTAACCCAGCCGTGCTTCGGGGCAGCTCCCGGCCTGCAGGGAAGGGCCCGGCCCTCTCCTGCCTGCTGGCTCCAGCTGCTGCAGAAGGCAAACTGCTGTCCTTAGCTTTTTTTTTTAACCTTTCCTCTCATCTACACAAGCAAGGCCAAACCTGGCACTGGTTGCCAAAGCCTTCCTGGCTCCAACGAGAGAACTTTTGGTGTAAAACTGATACTAGCGACTGAAAAGCAACATCCCCCCGGGTGGAGGGGTGGGAGGCGGTGATGGACAGACACTGTACGTACAGTGGCAGAAAGCTGTAGCAGCAAGTCTGTTCAAGACAGTGGAGTTCAACAGGTCAAACTCAAACTAGGGAGCACTTGGTTCAGAAAAGGCTTCAAACTCAACGTGTCCATGAATGGCAAACACCAGGCCCCTGTCCCAACACAGTGGGGCTTGGCTAATTGCCACTGTGTTTCTTGCTCACCTCCATCCTTTCTCCTCCACTACTGACTAGCTGAAGGGAGCACACAGGCACACTTGTATGGAAAAAGCTCCAAATGTAAGCAGGGGCTCCTCCTGCCTCAAAAGATAACAGACAACTCTTCATATTTACAGGGTGGCCCCATCCTACATTCAGCCACCACCCTTTGCCCTAAGGTGAGAAGAAAGCGGCACAGAAGAGCTACCCCTGCCCCATGGCCAGTGGGGGTGAGTCAGCAGTGCCAATGGGCAGAGGCGGGGAGGCACGCACTCGCTGGGTATGTGCACATCTGTCTTTCAGAGAAAGGTGACCTGCGTGGCTGCGTGGCTTGTTTTGCATCTGGCTCAAGGCCCACTCCTCTCACAGGCCGGGCTCACGCCTACAAGGAGGTCTACACGTGCACCACCACGCAATCACTCAGGCGTGAGCAAGGCTACTGCTGTGCTGAGACCTTCCTCCCCAGGGAGAGTTCAGGTGAGCCAGGCTGCGGGGGCGGGGAGCCAGCCCGCCCTGCGAAACATGCTGCAGCACGGCGACACCAGAATATGACAGGGAGAGGAGGGAGTGTTTCAGGTGTCCTTATGTTTTGAGAAGCCAGAGATGGACACAGACAGCAAGGATTGCCTTAATGATGCAACACTGCCCTTGTCAGCATCCCTGCTTGTAGGTCTTTGGTATGTTGAACTAAATCACTGCGGAGCCAAACCTCAACATTGCTCTTGGGTTAACAGCTGCCTGGCCGGGGGAAGCAGGTGTGACCGTGGCCTACAGCACAGCTTATCACACTCACAGCAGTCTTCTAGATAAGAATGCGACAGGGTGGTAGGGTTGAAGATGACCAGGTTATGCACCATCACCCAACACTGAGCATTTGGGAATGACACTTCCCACAGAAGGACACCGAGTAACAGAGAACCTGGTTAAATGTGCAGGTGAGGTAGATCCACAAATGGCACGTGGCATTTATCCGTGGCCTCTGCTTGGCCCATCCTGCCAGACACGGCACGCCCTGAGCTCCCTCTCTGCCCCCAGTTCCTTGCGAGAGGGGCAGCGGGCATGAGCAGGGCTAAGGGAAGACAAGGGCAACTACTGGAGCACAGGACTGGGTGTTCAAACAGAGCTCCAGCTCATCTTTTTTTTCCATTTTCCAGCCCATCTGAGAGCTGGACATGTATAGTGTCAATGGTGAGTGCTAACATAGTTGAAGGTTATCCCTGAACAAAACCCGTGTATAAAGTTAGGTGAAATGCAGATATGCCACCAGTTCAGCCTTTCTGCAGCTGATTTCTCTCTCCCACTTACTTTGGAGCAAGAGGGAGAAAACATGCTGCTTTTCTAAATGATGGTAAGAGCTGCTATTTAGAAAGCCAAATACCCTAAGTCAAAGCTTTATCAGTAACTATTCCTAGTGTCCATGTCATTCACAGCCTGGAGAATTCAGGGGACAACTTAAGATTAGTCCGTCCCCATCCTTTCCTACTAGTCACCGGTCAGTCAGAGGTATGTGCAAAGGGGGAGGAAAGCGGGTGTCAGCGTGGCCCCAGGCCAGGGTGGCTGTGTCGGGGCGCAGCCTGCCCAGGGAGGAGGTTCCACACTTGCCACACCTCGGGGAGAGGCAGCCCCCTCCCCTTGTCGCCAGCGCCCGCCCTTTGGAAAAGAAACTGTTCCGAAGACGTGTCATGAAGCTGCTCTGTTCACTGTGCGTATGATCTTTTTAAAAAAATGTTTACAAATATATATATTTTATATATGTTTATGTATTTCTTAAATTCCATTTAGAAATGTAGCTAAAAGAAGTAGAAAAGCACTAGCGAGAGTAGGCGTGAGACCAGCAGACTGCTGCACTTCCCACGTATGAAGGCACGAGTGTGGAGAGACACCTGTGGTCGGGCCTGCGACATGATGGTCTGACCCCACTCCTCACGGAGGTGTTTGTTTGCCTTTGCACCCCTGCCCTTCACAGCCCGTAGTGACCTCCTACAGCCGTGCTGATGCAGAGTACTGACACTGCCTGTGCTCTGGGCTTCGTGCAGGTAAGAGCAGTCTGTGGCCCGCGGTATGGTTTGGGGTAAAGAAGCCCGGCATCTTCTTAACGGGATGCTTTCAGGCTGGAGGGAATAGAGATTAGATCCTTTATACAGAGGGCCTGCTTCTCTCGGGCATTCAGGTTCCTTTATGACATGTGGGCTGGACAAATGGTCCTTAAAGCCAGCACAAGCACAACCCGTGCTCGCATTAAGGCCCTTAATCACCTCTAAAGCAGAGGAAGGGGTCGTACCCCAATGAATAATTATGTCCTACGTGTTAAATGGAAGAAATTTAAAATACCAAGCTATTTAGAAGATATTCTGTGTTTTTTTCTAATGTGCACAACACACTTGAAAATCACCAGGGATCAGCCTGTGGCCTAGACGTGCTCCTCAGCATAGTTAATCGTACCAATCCTTGTGCATGGCTTTTTGGGTAGTCCAGCATGTAAGTTTAATTCTGGAGTTTCTCTTTGCTATTCCTCTTCCTACAGATCACTCTTGCTTTTCAAAGGAAGCCTGCCTCTTTCCACAGCTATCTATAGGAGGGGAAAGTAAGATTCTGAAGTACTGAAGTATCATCAGCTGTATTACGATCTCAGCAGCACTTTAAAGTAAGTGGCCAAGCATTATTAATTCATTGCCCATCACTTTCACATCATTTATCATAACGAGCTACTGTGGTATTCGTGTGGATGCATTGTGTATTTCCAAAGAAATTTCATTGTGATTTTCAATTAATTAGTGGGCCATTACATTTTATTAAAGTGTTACCCAGAGTCTTAAACATTCATTACTGCCTTTAGAGCAAATGCTTTAACTGCATCTCAGCCTACCAGTGTCTTGCAATCAGGCTATTCTGCTGAAAGCTCTCTTGTGCTTTCCATGGTGTGGAGGACTGCAGAGGAGTGGTACCAGATAACCAAAAGTGAATTAGATCCCTCTGGCCTCATTCACCTGGCCACAGACAATGCATTTTTATGTCTCTGCTCAATGGATATGAACAGGCAAGGGAAAAGGGAGGGCTGCAGAGAGACCTCCCCTTGGTGGGTTCCTGTTGCTGCGTTTCAATGTCTTAAAAAAATGTCAATGTCTTAAAAATGTCAATGAGTTTCAATGTCTTGAAAATCTGCTCAGAGAGAGCAGGTAAAAGCAGGAACGCAAGTAATTGAATAACTGCATGCACAAAAAAGCAGACAAGCTTTGAGGTGTTCTCTCCTGAGTGATCTCCACAGATGGGGGAAGGGGGACAGCACGGGTTTGCTACATTCAATGCCAGCTTCTCTGAAGAGGCGAGTCCATCGAATAGGGAGATTTTAGTCAGAACAGTAGTGCCAGCCCTGTGAACTCAGAGTGAAAGAGACCTGGCATTTTTATCATCGCTGTAAGAAGTCAGCAGTAGCCAGGCCTCGTCCACCATCCACCTCTGGCATTCTGCAGGCTGGCAGCCGTGCCACAAACATCTATTCTTTGGCCAGAACAAAGATGGAGAGAATTTGATTTTTAATTTCTCCACGCAATTCCTTGCATCTTTTTCTCTCCCAACCTGCAATTTCTGGAGGGTGCACGCCAGAAGTGGTGGCAGCTGACAGGTCAGTCTTAAAAGAAGGAATGTGTGTATGTATGCAGGTGCAAGAGCCAAGTCTGTACAAGCTAATTCTTTGTTAACTGAAGTTTCAGCAGCTATTTATCAGAGGGGGGAAAAACAGGTGAAGAAATGTCGATTAAAAAATAAAAATAGGCACAACAATAAAAGATGAGGCTATTGCATTTTGAACCAATGGCACTGTGTTAATAGCACAACCTTCCCCTTCCAAATGTCAGCCATAGCCTCTCCAACGGCTATGACACTGCCATTCTGAGAAAGGAGAGTTTGCCACTAACACAATGTGGAGGAGAAAGCAAACCAAAACAGCAGCCCGTCCTGCTCCTCTCCCCCACCCCTCCCTCTCCAGTCCCCCAGTCCTGAGCTAAGAGAAGACCTGGCTGTGCTGCTGGGTCACCCGGATAAACGTTGTCCGCCTGCTCAGTTCCTTGAGTTTGGCAGCTCCCACGTAGGTGCAGGTGGAGCGCAGCCCCCCGAGGATGTCCAGGATGGTGAGTTCCACATCCCCTCTGTATGGTACCTCCACAGTTCGGCCCTCTGAAGCCCTGGAGAAGAGATCGGTTACTGCATTTATGTCTCGATGCAAAACATAATAGTGTGTTTACTGGAGCAATGTGGAGCTTAACACCCTGCATGCTGCAGTTTACAAATATTCCCCTGGCTTTATTGCTTGCTTGCCTGTTGCTGCTTGGTGCTCTCAAGTAGTGAAATGCTTCAACTCCCATCACCACCAATACTGTGAGCCAGCAGCATCTTGTAGATGCCCCAAAATCCCATAAGTGTATTTACAGATCTGTCCCTTCATTCCCTCCACCATCTGCCTACAAGCAAGTGAAGCTTCCAGGTTTTTGGAAAGGTACATTAGACCTTGAGAGTTGCAAGCCTTGAAGTATAAGGAATGGCCAGGCTCAGGCAACTCGCAGAAATGTTGAAACTGGGTCTCAGCAGGCACCACTCAGCACAGCTCTACAGAGGCTTCGCAGCCCCTGGGCTCTGTCCCATGTCACTGACCAGATGCAGATTGAAATGCTCCGGCTGTCTCCTACCAGCCTGATTCTCCAGAGCCCACAGAGATGGAGTGGGAAACTTGTTACAGAAACCCACTGCAGAGGTGTCCCCTGAAGCTAAAAGGTAAGCTAGCACACTTCAGAGCCAAGCAAAAAGGCCAGAAAAAATAGCAGTGCTGTGAATGCCGTCAAGTACAGGCGCATGCCAGCACAGACTGCACTGTCCCCAAAAGCACACCTGAAGAGTTACATGATGGAAGAATCCAGGCAAATAACTTTCACCCCTTTCCCTTCAGCTTTTTCCAGCCTCATGCTCAGCAATTCCTCCTGCAGCAGAGTTCCCCAATCACCACTTGATCTCACTGGGCTTTAGAGCGAGCTTGTTCTGCTCAGCACGCTAGCGCCTTTGGAGAGGCAGGCCTTGGGAAGGTGGGCTGAGAGCAACACAGAGGGGAGAGGGGATTGCTCTCCTTCTCCCCTACAAAATGGGAGGCAGAAATCACGGCTGGGTTCTGTCATTGTTGTAACTGTGGCTCTATTTACTTTTCTCTTAAACAAGTTGTTTAGGGGATAGTGCAAGAAAGAAAGGGCATGCCTGTTTGGAGGCTCCATTTGCAAATCATTAACAACAGCAACGGCTACGTGGAGGTACTTCAGTGTGAGCCTGGCTGTATTTCATTCTGTTAGTTCAAACGTGAGGTCAAAGCGCCAGGGAGACAATAAAGGAGAAGTGTTAATATGCCATATGAATAAGGAACCATGATTAATCTCCCTACATCTGATGAGTAATTGAGTCTTTCTTGAAACTCTTAAATAAACACTGTTAACCAGCCAATGGAAAATGTATATACCCCTGCCATCTAGCAGATTGTACAGGGCTCAGTGGTGTGATGTAGGGCCTGCACTACTGGGAGTTCACAGGCTTTTATTTTCAGCCCCAGTGCTAGCAGGAAGAGAAGGCCTGGCCCACAAAATGACACAAAAGTAGGCATGCTACCATTCTGCAGCTTGGTTTTTGGCTATGTCCACCTCATCCAGTCAAAGTTGGGAGGTTCAGCTCAGCCTCTGGGCAGCTTCCCATGAGATTGTGAGAGATAGTGCATGTCTGGGATTTGGGGAAACGAGTACGAATTTTACCTACCAGATCCTGCCACGTCAGAGCTCTGCATGCTGTATTGGGCAAGAAATGCAGGGATTACTGCATTCACGCATGACTGCCAATTCGGTTCACACATGAATGCCCCAGCAGTTCAAACATGAGTGCCCTGTTAATTCATGCTTGAGCATCACGTGGGGCATAAGTTGCAGGGGTTTGATTGCAGAGAGCTGATAGCAAATAAAGGCAGCCCCAGTTACAGTGGTTCAACAGACCTGCAGAGATGGGAACATTGGTCCCTAGGGTGAGAAGACTTGGTGGTCCTTTTTCCAGAGAAAAATTACAGAAATGTGGGACACTTACAGCCACTGCCCTTGGGAAATGCCCCTGCAGTGGCTATGGTGGTGTTCAGAAGCTGGAGCTTGTGGGATGCCACTTTTGCCTTTGGAGACCAAAACCTACAGAAGTGGTGAACACTACTAACATCGCAGCCCCAAAACTCTGACAGCCAGACAGGCACTACTGCTCTTCTAAGTATCAGCTGATAAGCTGGTGGGATGTCCTGTTGACCAAGGAGTGACCTTTAGATACCACACTGGGGAAGCATGCTGGAAGAGAGGTGTCAAGTTAGCTCCACAGAAAGCGCCAGAGTCCAGTTTTATGTTCATCCTTGAAAAAGAGCATCAAAAAGGGCTGAAAATTCTCCATGCTCCCACCCTACATGCTGGGAATAACGGATGTCCCAGAAGGAAAAGAAGGAGCATTGGATGGAAGTGGGACAGAAATCTAGAGCTGTGAGTTAAGCAACTGCAAGCACAGCAAAAAGGTGAGAGCTCAGTTAATGTTGTTATGGCTGGTGAGCAAGCCCCAAGACAGTGAAGCTGTTTGGTGTGTCATCTTACTCCCCAAATGGGGAAATGCCCACGCTGCTGCATGTGAACACGGCACCCCACCATTTTGGATATAAATGAAGCCCTGCAGGTAGCGATCTCATGACCCTATTGGTACCTTCAGCCAGTCAGGGGAGCATATGACCCCTCTGCTCAAGTGTGAAACAGCAGCAGCCACTGGGAGAGGAGACACACCTGGACATGCCTGAGGAGGCATATAGCTGTAGATGCACCCTCGAAAGGAAGTGCTCCATGCTAAAGGTGCGCATTCCCAAAGGGACTGTAGTCCCTGGGTGACCCATGTCGGAACAGGGACAGCTGCAAAGGGACTGTGGCCTGTGGGCGACCCACGATGGAGCAGGCACAGTAAGAAGGAGTTGTGGCAGACAGAAACCATTACACACATGCCCACAACGTCCTGTGCCACCCCTTTTCCTCACTGAAGGAGCTGGAACAGACCGAGTGTGGCTGGTGGTGAAAGTAAGGGGAGTTGAGGCATGGCGGGGGCAAAGAGAGGTGTCCAGTTTCAGTGGAGTCTGGAAAAGGAGGAGGAATGGTGTTTACTTAGATGTTTGTTTAATTACCCAACAGTGACTAGAAGTTTGTGTTAGCTGGCAATAAATGAAACCAAGTAAAAAATCCCCAAGTTGAGACTGTTTGGCCAGCAACAAACGCCTGTGCAGAGGCCATGCATGGATTACAAGGGGTGTCACAAAAGCTGGCACACTTGGCAGAGAGCTGCATAAGCAAGTCAGCAGGAACTGCTGAGGGATTTGCAGGTCTGACATCTCTCCCGGAGTTAGGACCCGAAACTAACCCTTTCTCAGGAAAGAAAGGTGGAGATGGAGCAACTGGGACTCCCAACAGCTGGGAAAGGTGTGCTCAGATGCTTTCAGCACAGACTATGTCTCTCGCTAGCCACTGAATGGTGAATAGAAAGGGAGAACTATTTGCTTTAGACTTTTTGCACGGGGTCCAATCTGCAGTGCACCCTGTAACTCCTAGCCAGCTCAAGACCTGCTGGTGGCATGGAGGGATGCGCACGGTGGGTGGGAATCCTGACAGGCTGGATGGGTTGAAGCACGTGTGATGGTGCTCTGTCAGCCCAGCAAAACGTGGGTCAGGATAAAGGGGTCAGGCTGCGCCGGCATGAGGCAACCTTAAGAGGGGAGCATTTAAGAAACGGCAGGAACTGGGTGCAGGGCTTCAGGCTATTATTTGGGATACAGAAAAAGACAGTAAGTAGCAGGCAGCTGCTGGTGTTATTCTGTCTCTGTGGCCCAAATTCCACCCTACAGTTGTGCTCAAACCCAGCTTAGTAGCAGCTGTGAATTGCTGAGTGACCACAGTAGAACCGCGGCATTCACACAAAACCTGTGAAATCTCAAAAGGGTTAACAAAAGCAAATTGGCTCTATCTGAACAATACTGTGGTCTCTGTTCCTGCTTGCCTTATTTCTTTTCTCCCATAAAAGAAACTTAATAATTGCTTTTCAGAAATTCCCAGCTCTGATCCATGTTCCTCGTGGAAGGAGGTAAAAATGTAAAAATAAACCAATATATAAATGACATAAAAGTAATGAAACCAGGTACACAGATTTCATACAAAATTAAATGGGATCAACTTGACATATTCATTACAAAACCAATTACTCACGACTTTATTCCCTGCTACAGACATCTCACCTTACCTGTCAATTTTAATTTAACTGTTTGCTGGAAGCTCAGGTTCTCCAGACAAAATACGTAATTTTGAGAAGCAGCAGCTAAGTGACAAGTAGTCTGATTCTGCAGGGGCTGAGCACACTGAGCTCCCCTCTGCTTCAATAAAACATTGCGAATGCTCAGGCTCTTTTAAAGACAAAACAGCTTATTGGGGGTCACTGATACAGACTTACAGCTGAGCTTTTTAAACGCATATAAAGAAGCCCCACTGACTTGACCTGTTTGGGGTATCCAGGCGTAGAACCCTTTTGGTTCAAGTTTGCTATAAGCTAACCTAGTAAGTGACTAAACTCCCTATAACTTTTCCTACAAGAGTAATTCAAAGCAAAGCCTTGCCCTGTTTCCAATTGTCCCTTCAATGCACAGCACATTTACAGCTCTGGATAACTAACAATTGCTATTTTTAAGCCACAGTAACACTCATCATGCTGGGACAGGCCAAGCAAGACCAAGACCAAGGCTAGTATGGATAGCCAGCTCTGACTCAAGGCTGCAACATGAACAAGATGACAATCTGCTCCTTCACAGTTAACAGTCAAGACTCACAGATTTAATGCTTGGAGCTGTTGTAGCTAGCAGTTAGACTGGGGACTCCTTCTATGTTACCTATTAGTGGCACAAAAAAGCAGTATCTCAACAGGGACTAAAAATTTCAGATTATGCTTCCACTCCCTTGTTGCTGAGAAGGTTTCAGAACTTGATCCCCAGGGGACTCTAAAATCAGGATGCAAATCAAAATACAGCTATGGATCAAGCAGAATTTGTGTAGTATTGTCCATAAGGAATTGAAAGGGTCTACCTAGACTGAGCCAAATACAGTGCCTTTCCGTACATCCTTTATTCCTACAAGATAAAATACTTGCACTTTATCTCATTTTTAAAGGGGACCAGTGTCAATTAATTCTCCTGCTGGTGATAAATTTTGTTGCCAGATCACACGCACGCTTAACTAGGTGGAACAGAATTTAACAGCTGCCTTAGTCCCTTGGTGCACTGGTACAGCAAGCTTTCTCAAACTTTTCCTGCAACTTTCCCCAGCTCTGTGGCGGCCAGATATCCTGCAGATAATAGTGCTTTTTACAGGTACAGATGCAGCCCCACATAAGATTAAAAAAATCCCTTGCACATTGCTCACTAGCTTCTGATCTGAGCCCCAGAAAGAGGTACGTGACCTCAGGTAAAGTAGGAAGGGTACACTCAAGAAAGACATCTATGTCCTCCTCAGGCAGAAGGTAAAGGTATTCCTGTCCCCTTCTCATCCTATTAGATGCAGAAAAATCCTGAGTTGAAAATCTGCCAGGATTTACATGTTCTCCTCAAATTACAGTATTCACTGTGTATTTTTACCTGTTAAGAAATATCTTTTTTTTTTTCCTGCAAAAACAAATGCCCTTGGAACTTGCCAAAACTCATCACAAGCTTTTTTGTCCTTGAAAAATTCTTTACTATCATCTCTAATCCCTATGTCCAACTGGTTTTCTTCTCTTGAGAAGTCTTCCTTGGAAAGTAGTACTGAACCAGACTGTGTCTAGTAGGCACTGGCTATCCAATAAGTGCAGTGTTGACAAGCTGTTTCCCTGTTTTCACATAGGCTTCTCTTCTAAGGAGCCTGGGTTTTCTGCCAGACCAGGAAGGGTAATGACTTCATTTATCTCCAGGTCTCTCTTGCACAATGTCTACCAATAGCCTTCCTTAGTCTCCCCGTATTATTGCAGTCTAGGAGCTCACAATAACCAGTTTGGGACGCTTAGGCCAAAGGAGACAGGTGTAAATGCTCAGAAGCAGGCTGTGTCTTACCACTTTGTAAAGTGCTGGGTGAACTACTGCACATTTTCGTGGTGTATTTTGATTCCGTTAACCAAAAAGGCGTGGGAAATCTGTACAGCAGGATTCTGCTGCCTAAGACGACTGCCTAGAAAACACAGGAGGGAGTCCTGGGGCTACCACCTGTGACTGAGAGTGCTTTGGAGTTCCTGGGCCCTCATCAGTGTTACAGGTGTAATTCAACTCCATACTGGGAAAACCCCAGCTGAGCATCGCCGATTCACCAGGCACCCACTTTTTGCAAACAGAAGGGAGCAGGTAGGCCAGCCGGGAACCCATATACCAACAGGACACCCAACCTGGGCAAGCAGAGGGCCAGAAACTGCAGCCTGGTGTGCCATGTTCCAGCATTTAATTCATACACATCTCAAGAGACCGGTAAGTCAGAGCAGTGCCTAATGACTTCCCAGACCGTGCAGCTAGTGCTGCAGTGACAGCATGCTGCGCTGGCAGCAATCAAGTGAACACAGTTACTCTCAGCTAGTCACCCCCAGCTCCTTCTCCTTGTCTTCCCCTTGATGTCATCCCTCCCTCAGATCTGCTGCCGTAAGTGTTGGTAACAGCTTCCCAAACGGGAATAGAGGCATGGGCCTGTTTCCAACAGATGCCTTTTGCACAACTCTGCTCCAGAAGTTAATGGACGGATGGCTCACTGCAATTGTTCCTGTGTGGAATTCATACCTGTATTCAGCAACCCCTCCTGCATGCTTCTTCATGGCTGTATCGGAGCTCATTCCATAGAAGAGTTTCACCTTTTTGCCATTCTTTTCCATAATCTCTCCAGCACACTGGTCATGGCCTGCAAACATTCCTCCAAGCATGACAAAATCAGCACCGGCTCCTGTGATCAGTAAAGTGAAATGTAAGGAAGCAGAGAAGGGAGAAGAGGGTGAAAGGCAAAGCAAGAACACAGTGGCCTCCAAAAACAACAGCCAGCCCTAAATAGCTTGGTACAGAGTCCCCTCCTATAATACATGCTGCAAACTTGAAAGAAATGCTTTACTGAAGAACTGACACATGCTGAATTGTATTTCTCTGATACATACTGAATGAAAAGAAACCTTCTCTGTTGTGATGACAAAGATATAGATTATTCTATTCCACCCCACACTCTTTATTTTCAAATTCAGTTTTAACCCTTTACTTCATAATAGTATCTGATCACAGCTCCTTATCAACTACTATTGTGACCACAGTACTCTGCAGCCCTGATCACAGGGCTAGGACCTGTGGAGCTCAGTGCTATACAGAGAAGAGGACAGCTCCTACTTCAAGACATTTCTAGGCTACAAGCTGTGAGTGGGAATGTACTCTGAAGGAAGGCATACTCATGAATATAATGTACTCCTCCCAACACTGACATAAAACAAGCAGATGGATTTTTCAAGTCCATCAGCCATATGTGCTCGGTGTAGGTCTGGGTGATCCCTTGTCAAAGAGATCTGGACGGGTCTGCATTTGGTTCCTGTTGTTTAAAAACTCTGGGCCAAGGACTGCCACCCCCGTGTTCTGTGGTACTCAGTATGCACCACAAAGGAGGTCTAAATATGTTCCAGATACTGAGTAACAACACTGAATACTTAATCATGCCTGTTCAGTCTGTCCATCTCCCCTGGCTTTGCAAATCATGAAATCAATTCCACTAGGAGTAAGATCAGAAAGAAGGTTTTTGGAATCACTCTTGATTTTCTACTGTGATTTCCAATATTTCCAGCTGGGCTGGAACTATTCCACCAGCAGCTCCTCCTGTGATATTTTGGCATATCTAGTCTTGCTTGGAAAAGTTTGGCTTTTACTCTTTTATGAGCCTGTGGTGACCCATCCCTGAAACAAAGCATTTTCCTGTTCAGACTCTCTGCTTCTTCAATGTGTATATGTCAGAACAAGCCTTCCCTCTGCCCAGTTTTTTCCCAGAACTGGCAAAAGACGGGGCTATAAACCTCACTTCATAGAAAGCAGATGAGCCTGAACTAACTCCACCCCGTTATGAACATGTCCAAACTCTGGGGAGATCCCAGGCTAGGTAAGTCTGGCATTAGGATTTGCTCTGTTCTCTGTCACTATCCAAATAATAGCACTGGATCTTGAAATCTGAAGAGTAAGTGAAATCATTATCAACTCTGCACAGCTTCTGCCATCTGTTTAAAAGACAAACCTGAACTTGGGAGTATTTTGATCTTAGAATACATGACAACTGTGGAATGTCCACTGATTTATAAAAGCCAGTTCCTTCCCTCCACCCCTTTGCCAAACAGCAGACCTAAAAGCAATGTCTGGGAGCACGGCACCCAGCTGCTCTGCTGACCTCACCTCCCTTTGCCTGGTTGTTGTTTGAAAGGAACGCTATGTCTGTGGTAAAGCGATATTAAAAATTAGGCTTGTGCAAAACTGCTGAGCAAATCACAAGCAATATTTATAGCCAGGCACCCATTCAGGTGTCTTATCGTGCCAGCTACCTCACAGATTTTTCTTGAGCTCTCTTGTTTCAGATGGCTGAGTTCTAAAGCCTCAGTTTGACTCACGTCTGATACTACTATTAACCTGCCAAAAACGAAGGGAATGTTCATCCTTTAAGACATTCTCAATTACTGGTGGGGAGCTCCTGTTGTTACCTGGCACAATCTTGCTCCACCTTTGCAAAAAATAGTACCCTGGGAAATCTAGTTGATGTCTTCTTCATGGGTGGAAGAAAACAACATGAGGAAGGAGGCACAGGTTTGGGGTCGAGGTTTCAAAGAGGTCCTTTAAACAAGTCAAAAGCCTGCCAAAGGACACCCTGGACTCAGCCTTGTCAATATTATCCCCTGATTCCCAGTTCTAGTCCTGTCTCTGGTTATGGGTCTCACAGCCTCCAAATTATTAATGGAAAACAGTCACATGAAATCTACACTTCAGAATCACAGAATTTTGGTTTCTGTGCACTTAAGTATCTATTTATTGTTTTTCTTTTGACGGCGTATTTTGGGAGGAAAGCAAATATGTTTGAATTACAGGACTGAAACTCATCCAACTTTAACTTTTGAAAGCTACAACATAATTCATCAATCTCTTCCAGAAGAGAGGAGAGGAGCCACGTTACAGCAGCCACAGCACGTCTAAACATTGGAATAACACATGCTTACTGTCCTGCAGCTCCAGAACGACAAGCCCAGATTAAATACACTGTTCCAGTGCTCTCCTGAACTTTCCACCCTCCTTCAGTGTTGCAAAGTTCCCTAGAAGTTTCAAGTCTGTTCCACTACTTTTCTACCAATTAACATCCAACCAGAAGGCTGTAGTTTTTAGCATGGTCTTTGTTTACTTATGCATGGGCTTTGTATGACCGGAAGCATTGGCGATGTTTGCAACACCCAGCTGCAGTCTTTCATTTTCAAGGTAGACAAGTGTGCCATTATTTTAGGTTGTAAGGGATTGGGAACACCTGGCAACAACCCCCTAGATAATACAGGATGTGATGGGGTACATTGCATACAAGCATCCCAGTAGCTCGCCCAGAGTTTGCTAGACTTGTCTTGTGTCTGCACAATGCCACTTCAATGCACTGATTGATGCTGGGGAGGACTTCTCCCTTGAGGCCTATGCTGTATCTGGGCTGATTTTGCTCATCCACATTTCACAGTGCCTTCTCTTTCAAGCCATTACAAAACATGTGTGCTGACACCAGCCCAATCTTGCAGCACTCATACAGTTCTGCTGGATCTGAATGGAGTCCCTCGGATGTCTTTTGTATGCCTGATAGTACAAGTTACCGATAACCAGACTGGCTCTGCACAAATTCAGCTGGAGTCAGCCTGGATTTGTAGCCTGGGCAGCCCTCCAGGCAGATGCAACGTAAGTTCGCCCGGACCACAGCTGGCCCTGGAATCAACATTCACCTGTGCTCCAGCTGAGCCAACGAGCCTTTGCAACAGTAGATGTACACACAGCTATTGAAAACAGGAAAAAAAAAAAGCCAGTATGATCTGTCAGGTATATTTTAGAACCAGTATATGTCCCCAGTTGACTTTTCCACATGATTTTTCCTTCCTTTTCCTTCCCTGCTCCTATATCTCTTCTCACCACTGCTGTAAGGAACAGCAGTATTGTGTTAAAGATGCTGGCATAGGATTCAAAAGGCACATTCTGTTCCTGGCTGTGTCACAAAAATATATGTGACCTCAGGCAACTGAACTGAGTATTTCTGTGCTTTGACTTCTCATCTTTAAAAAAGGAGACAGTAGTGCCTCCCTGGGGTATTCTGAGAAATGTGTTCATGTTATCAGCCTTTCCAAGGGTGCAGTTATGCGAACCATCTGTGAGCCCAACACAAAGTTCTTTCATGCTTTCTCTCATTCCTGCATCAGAACACCTCGTCTTTTCCATTATCATCTCTGATACCCAGATGGAAACGACATCCAGGTTCCCATCCAGCAGTTCCAAAATTCTACCAGTCTTTCCCAAAGTATCCGTCACTTCTGGCATTTTTGTCCCCCATCTTCAGTGCGTCTGTGTTCCTTGCCTTTTTAAATAGGCTTCTACCTTGTCTCCTCTCTGTCTGCCTCTGACTCCTGACACCAATGGTGTCACCTTCCACTTGTAAAACTTCTCAGCATCTTCTTCATGGTTCTTCACAATTCTTTACTTGCACTCAATCCACTTTACTCCTCCTGTTCGCATGAACTTGCCACCTCCAGTCACATCTTTAGCCATTTGTAAATGCTAGTCTTCACATCTGGGACTCCCTCCCACTTTTTATGACTCAAATGGCTGCTTTGTCACTGCTTTATAAGGAACACCTCAACATCCCTTTCATGAAGACTTTACAATGATTCACCAAAAAGAGATAGTATAATCACTTTAATCAAAAGTCCTCTTTGGGTCTCTTGTCCATGCTTTGTCCAGGCCTCCACCCCTAGGTGAAACTGCACATCTGTGTGTTTTAGCACCTGGTCTCTGCTATCCAATATATTTATGTAACTCGGTCCCTGCCCCCAAGAGGCTTTCAGCAAGAACAGAGGTCTGTGCTAGACAATTCAGTATCAGTATCAAGGCTCTGGCTTGTAAATGCTTGGCACGGAGGCTATCTTCCACGTGGCTCACATAGCCAACCACCTCAATAGTATTCAATAAACACTGATAGTAATAACATTAGGTAGAAGCTTATTTTGCCACCCGCCTTTGACAAATGCACACCTGGCTCCTGCTAGTCAGATGTCCACAGCGTGTCTACCTCAATTATACATAACCAGATACAGTAAGTTTATTGCCTCAAGGTAATCTCTATCAGTTCCAGCCCTGTACTGGTGACACACAGGTCAGACTGATCTGTCTGGCCTGCTGCCAGCGTAGAACTCCTGCCTGTACAATCTCAGCTTTCTGATGCTCCTCTGTCCCTGGGACAACCCATGGTAGCCTTCAAACACTGTGAGTCCCAGCGCCTCCTGACAATAATCTGCCCTTTCACAGGTTTCAAGCAAGTTTCTGGCCAGTTAGCCCAAAAAGACTACAAGGCCCCCTCAGACTTATATAAACATCACGAAGGAAAATATTTTAAATGCTTTGAAGTTGCTTCCTGTTGTTCTAACTTCTGGAAATGCTTTTGTTGAAGAAAGACCTTTTCCACAGGCCAGGTTTCTGCACAAGCAGCTGGGAATGCAGCAAGGTCGCAATCCCAGTTCACAAGCTCCCAACACAATGCCAGCAAGAACCAGGGGAGCGGAGGAGCCAGCGAAAGTCAGGCAAACAAAGGCGTCACTGCAGGCAGCATTTAGTCAGAGTGGGTTGGGCTGAGGAGAGGTCGGGTGTTTTTTTAATACGATCTTGTTGCCAAAGAGGGTGGATGCTGCTGTTCAGCTATGTCAGAATCACCCAACTGGAAGTATCTATTCCCCACCTCACATCACCCACTGGGTAACACAACGGTGCTGGGAAATCCTGTGACTGACCGGATTCCTTGCTGGTAGCAATCACACCACAGCTGTGCTTAGAATTCTCTAATTAAGTCTTCCTTGTCATCTGACCTGTTTGAAAACAGGAGCTGTCTGCAAACTTAGAAGACAGATTTTGGTTTCAACCTTTCCAGGAGGCCCACAGTTTCTCTTGGCAGGTCTGTAATCTGAGTTTAGGCCTGTCCCTGCTTTCCATACTTGCAAAGCTTCCTGCCAAGCAGATGTGCTGTATCATAATGTCCTATCTCTTGTACTGTACCACGCCGAAATCCCAACAAGGGACTACTGTCCCACTGTATTCTGGGTATTACCCCACTGTGACATCTCCAAAGGGTCGGGCATTTTGAGGGGTAGGGGAGTGTCTTTAAATGTCCCAGTAGCCTGCGATGTGTTTAGCACCTGGTGACGTAAGCTGCTGCAACAAGGTTATGGCTAAGTGACAATTCTGACCTTGACTCTCCCACACCGATGTAACTTTGATGCCCAATAGAAAATACTCACAGATTAAATTCTCTGTTCTATCAGCAAGAGCTGGTGCAATTCATAAAGCTATTAGCATGAGAGCAAAGTCTGTTAATTATTAACTTAGATGTTTTAGACATCTGCTCAGCTCTAGGGGATACAGTATAAATAAAATCTCATCTCTTCAAGTTGACAGCTGATCCCAAGAACATCTCCAGGGATCTGGCCTGCCTTTTTGTTTTGTTCTTCTGTCCAACACACATTCCACCAGCTCTTTGTCCATTCAAGGCCAAAGTCAGCCAGATCTGGCAATGTTACAGACATCTTTGAACCCTACTCAGAAGAAATCCCTATCAGTTTTCTTTGTATTACTGTCCCAGTGGCTGTATCTCATGCACACCTGGCAGATAGTTTCTAAATAGGACTTCGACCACTGTATGTTTCACACTGCAAAATTTGGACTGTCTGGTCCAAAGAGCAAATTGATGTCTGGTTTATTAATTTCACTGGAGTCAGCCACAGGGACGAATGTAACCTATTGCTGATTACACATTCAGGGTCAAATTGACTCCTGCATTGCTGCTGACGGTGCTGGAGATTTGCGGGGTGTAACGGGTGGCAGTATGCACTGTCCTTACCAAAAGCTTTGGCGACATCTCCTGGGCAGCTGCATCCTCCGTCCTGCATAAAGAAAAAATGACAGTGAGTGGCAGTGAGGTCACTCAGGGACCCAGTGAGCACTGGCACTCCATGACCTCCAGCACAACGGCACCTGCTAATGAACACCAAGTCAAGAGTTGACTGTGCACCATCGGGATACATCATCTTGGCTGAGTTTTTAGGGAATCCATATTATCCATTCTATTGCTTTTCTTCTTTAGGCTCATTTACTCTACCATATAGTCTACTGATAATACCACCAGTAACAAAAGCAACACAAATTCCTGACTGCAATTTCCTAAATCCCAGAAAGTGGAAAACAAAAAGTCCTCTGATGATCTGACTCATTCCCTGCCATTTTAATTAAAGGCCATGTGATGCAGAGGTACCACAAACCCCTACCTTAAACGACCAAAGACATTTAAAACAACTTTCTCAGCAGTTTACAATTAAAAGGTCACAGTGGGAGGGGTGAGGAAACACACCATCAGCTATGTTGGATTTTGATCTGATAATCTCTAAGCAAATTGGGTAATCTAATCTTTGGTAAGTGAAAATTAATCTCTCATCGTACTCCTTACGGTTTGCTATGGGTTTGGTTAAGAAACAGCATTTTGTGATCTTTAGCATTTTAGTCCTGTGAATTTCAATTTCAGTGCAGAGCAAAGAAGTGGCTGATCAGGGGGTTTCAGTTGAGGGGAGGGAAGTCATGTATGTGTGACAGGGCTGTAAAAAAGGGATGGCACACAGCAGAACTCATCATGTGCTATGGTTCTTTAGGTTTGTGAAGGTCTGAGCACCAGATGAAAGATCCTTCTACTCGACACAGTCATTGTACCAAGAGGGCTCCCAGTTCCTTTGATGATCAGGGTCTGTTGCAGACTGCCGACAGCTTTCCTGCTTTTGAAGCTACTCCCTGAGACTGTATGGTTACTCCGTTTGTTTCACCTCCCTGTTGGCAGAAACACATGCCCATGTATGACCTGTGGCTGAGCACAGCCGGACGCCCCCACCACCAGCCATTTTAGAGCTGGCTCTCGTGGGTGGTTGGCAGTGGGGCTGAGTGTTAGAACCTCTCTGTGCGCAGAAAAGGATTCAGACACAAACTGAGCAGGTGGATCTGAAAGTGAGTGGCTTTTCAAAGGGCATCCCACTGCAAACAGCACCTGGTAGCAGTATAAAGGCTTTTATTCTATTTGCTGATAACCTCTAGCACATTATGCATTTTTTTAAGCTAGACACCCTTGCTGTCAGCTCCAGAAAGGAGTGCTGGGCTGACAGCTGAATCTCTCTCGCCTGTTAAGAGTTCTGCTTGTGCAATTCTTTCCCTCTGACAAGTCTGTCGGAGCTTGGAGGAGGGTGTTGAGTGTGTGTGCATGTGTCAGGGGAGGAAGAGCTGAGGTAGAAAAAGGGGGTCTAATAATCTTCAAAGAGTAGTGTCAGGAATTTGCCTGACTCTTACTCTGAGACAGGATGGCTATGAATGCTCTCTGGTAGATGGGTATCGGTGTGTTCTTGTTGGGTGGCTCAGTGGCTGACTTTTACAATTAACCCAGTAGTGGCAGTGACGGAGGCTTTATGGTTTCAGAAGTGCCATGAGGATGGAGGTCTTACTGTGTAATCATTAATCATCAGCTTCAAAAAATATCACTTTGAATGTCATCAAATTACAAAATGCTGAGCAGATTAAGACTTTCCCAAAAAGCTCATAAGTCACCATTTAAGATAAAAGGAACTGATGATGATGATTCACAGCACTTCTTTATCTGTAGATGTCTCCACTTAGTTCACGTAAGCAGGTAAATGTAATGATTCTGATTCATGGAAAGGGAAACAAAAAGGGCACATACTAAGCAGTAATGCCAGAAGATGCTATATAATAAAGCTATATGCATGAAACCACTTCATTTCATGTGAAAAATCAAGCACTCTGTTTAGAAAATAAGACTGTGCTTCTGCTGCATTCAGTCTGGGAAGCTTCCCCTTGCAGTTCAGCTCGTCCCAATGGGGGCTTGGGTCTGCACTAAAAATGACTCACAGAACTGCTGGGCTACAGTCACGGAGCTTGTTGCATGCTCAGCCTCTACCTCAGAGGCCTAGGGAAATGTATCTGTACAAATCCTCCTGTGAGTTCAGGAGAACTGGCATTATTCACAAGTAAGCCTACTGGAAAGCGTGGCCACGGGGCCTGTAAAGGACGTGATTCTGAGACAACTGGGTGCTAAGTAGGAGAGAGGAAAACAGCTTTCCAGTCAAGGCAATTATTTTAACATGGCTAAAATAATGTTATTTTCCTCAGCCTTGTTCTCAGAACAGATAAACCACTTAAAAACAACAAAATTTAACCTGAGGAAAAAAAATACAGTATGGAAAACCAGTATGAACTAGTTAAATATTTAATATTATATACAAGTTATAATACATTTATAACCATGATTTATATGTTTCAAGCAACCTTTATAATAAACTGTATAACCAGCCCTTCTTACAGTACTAGCAAACAGATAGGTATTTATTATGCAGAAGATATATAAAGTATGTAGCATATACAGCAGTAGAAACAATACATATGGTGTTTTATTCTGAACTACATATGCAGGGCACGTTTCTGTGTGGAAAGTGTTCTGTGTGGAGGAAGAGATGATACAGCAGCAGCTGGATGAAGAACCTCTTAGTCATTCTTTTCAATGAATGCTGGTGGCCCATCACCCAGGCAGGGTGAAGGGGAAATAGGGATCTCTATCAAATGATAGCCAAATGAGAGAGGACACATGCAAGGCTGCTTTCCATTCCCCACATTGCTGGCTTACTAGAATACGTGACTGCGTCTCTATCCAGCAGAGTAGTTCTCTGACCTACAAGAAACAGAAACTGTATCTCAAGTAGGGCGTTTCTGAAGGAGCTCTCCTGCTAAATGGCCTCTTCACTGTAACTCACTGCTACACCTTCTCATGGATTAGCGGTAATGAAAAATGAGACCATTGGCTCCCAGACAAATAGCATCGGACAGAAACAGTGCCTGTATCTTAGACAGGGTTTCCTCTCTTCTTTCAGTGAGTCATGAAAGATTCATTTCTGGTGTGATCTTTGAGTCTTAAAGATAATTTAGTCTGAGGAAAGTTAACTGGTGCAATTTCATCTCCCCCTTCTCTGTGCAAGTGACTCTAGAGAGACACCATGCATTCACTTGGACTATCATGTTTGCCTAAAAATTGTCACCTTCTTTGTCAATGTATCAGCTCCAAAAATCGTACGTGATTAATAGTAAGTAATAGTAAGTACATGAGTAATAAAAATGTGTTTAAAATCCCAGTTTGTGCTGCCATCCTAACAGAGCTACTGGAGAATGAGCTTCAAGCGTGCTATGTTCCTTGCAGTGACTGTACTGTGCTCAGCACCGTCACTGTCTCGTTCCGCAAGTGGGACCTCTTTTCCTTCATACTTAAGCTGAGCCAACATAACAAGAAAAAGGAGCAATTTGATGAAGGTACTGGACAAGACAAAAGTGGATGCAAGAAAGCGTCCCAAGGGACTAACCTATATCACACCATCAGCTATAATCTAGATGAAGATAGCTGGTAGGCCTGGAATCTGTTCACATCCTTCCTGCCACTTCCGTATCAACATAAAAAAGCTGCTGGATGTATTTTCTCCTGCTAAATTGATGTAGATAGCTGCGGTAATACTCTGACTGCACAGACCTTCTTTGGCTTAGGTAGGGTGTGCCTCTTCCTAAATCTACGTAATGACAGTAATGAGACACTTTGAGGGATGCCATGTGTACTTGTTGCCACTAGACCCAATTATATACTTAGGCTTGCTCCCATATGGTGTTTTTCCCCAGGAGGATACCTCTCTTTTGATACTCTTGCCAGAGCTCTGGCAATGACCATGCAGTCCAGCCTTTTCTTTTCCCGATAAACACACCAATACCTATCTGAATGCTGCGGAATCCAGGCATAATATCCTCACCCTTGCTTTAGTCTCCTTAGCTTGGGTGACAGAGTTGAGTTGCAGTGGTGTTACAGACTCCAGTTACAGCTGAAGGCCCAGATGTAGCAGACAGGTATGAAATTTCCATCCTGTACTCCTCGTGTAATGGCTAGGGGGTTGATAGGTGTGAGCTCACTGAAGCCAACATGACCTAAGCAGGTCAGGAACCGATCCATCCACAAAGCAGCAAAGAAGAGGAGGAACAGTACAGAAATGTCTCATTTTTCAACAGTTTAAATACACACTCCCTGTTTTCCTGTAAAATCAGGGTAATAACTTTCTTCTTAGAGTTGCTAGCAGAAAATGATTACTGCAAAACTAGGATGGGTCTCTGAACACCACTGCTAGGATGACACCTATAGTTATCCAGCGTTCATAGTAATGAGTCGGTCTTTCATGCTCTATTGCACACATGTTCTGCTGTCTGCTATAGGCATAAACATTTGTAATGCTGTCCAAGCCAAAAAATCACAGACTGCTTTTCTTTTTTTCTGCAAAATTCATATAGGGGAGCCATGAAGAAGCGGGAATGCATATGCATTAACAATAAAAAGCAAGAGAGATCCGACTGTAACACATACATGTTTTCTGCTCCATTATACCCACAGCTCCAAGAAATACAGTCAAGCCCTTTGCTCATCCACAGCCAGTTTGCTCCCCTCTCCCCTCCTTCCTCAACAACACAACACACCTCCTTCCTCACATGGATACCAGTCACAACCGGGTCAAACAAATCAGGGCCTTCCAGTGATTTCATTTGGCCAGTAGATCTAAAATTCAGTGTGTGGTCTCTTCTAAGGCCACAGAGGGAGACTGTTAGCTGCAAGCACACCTGTGAGCACAGCACACAGCCTCTATGCCGTCCTGATCCCCAGCTGCCTCACAGACAGCCTGCAGAGACTGCACAAGCCCATCACAGTCAGGGGCACACTGACTGGCTGGGCATGCCTAAGCACACAGGACCTTTGGGTGCTGTATGCTGCAGTCTAGCTCAGTTTGAGCCCATGCTTACAGATTTATTTTTTCTATGTGAGGTGAATCTGGTCTTGCTGGTAGAGTGGAAGCTGCCATTAGCAGGCAATACAGATACAGGCTCTTTTTTCTCCACAAGCTTATTATTTCCCCTGAGCTTTGTGAAAACATAAGTGGCTCACTTGCCAGCTGTGCTCAACAGAGCCACCTCTGAAACACTCCTGCTCCTGCACACAGAGCTCCATGAGGATGCCACCTGAATCAATCCAGCTACTAGGGCACAGATGGGCTCATATTGTTTTGCCTTGTACTCCCCTCTACTGACTTCCTGTCCCTCAGTCCCACTCTCTGGGGAAAGCCATGTTTACATTTCTCTCATTTTTCAGAAATCTTTCATAGGAATTACTGTGTGCTTCCATGTGAAAACACTATCAAGCTTCCTATTCTGTTCACGTAACAGCTTACTCTGTTCAGGGAGCAAGAAGCAGCTCAAAGGCACAAACAGGAGTGAGGTGCCCAAGTCTTTTTAAACATTAGAGGGAGTTGGTTTCTTTACATTTAAATCTCCACTGACTACCCTAGGAGCTAGTATGGGGTCAACTGGAGATGACAGAACGATAGCCTTTAACATGCAGGGTACTGGACTGTTTGATTCTCCTCTTCTACAACAATTTGCACAGTGGGAATCTGAGAGCAGATGATATTTACTTACAGAGATGATATGTCCTTTCAAGCCATGTGCTGAGTCTGCACACTCAATAACAGCACTTAGCTGTGGATAGCCCACCCCTGTCTTAATCCGAGTGGTACACACAGAACCTAGACAAGAGAATGAGAGGGAAAAACACAGCCCATTAGGCTGAAGAAAAGATACATCTTGTTTTCTTTTTCATGTGGAAAAAACCCATGTTTCTTTCTGTATTATTGTTTCCCTTAAGAAGGCTCTATTGGAAATGTTGGCTTCTCATGAATAGAAGGAACACATAAGAACCTGAGTTTTGAAATGTTATCGCACCACTTCATGGGAGCTGTAATTGAGGTGACCAACATCCCCCCTTTCTTCTCCAGGGCCACAATTCCCAGTTTAGGTCTCATCAGTAATGCTCCCTGGTGAGGGAATTACTGCATCACGAGAAAGCAAATCTGACTGAGGTCCCTGAAGGGAAGGGGGGCAAAAGAACCAGAGTCACAACCCGTGAGGCTCAGCAGCAGCATTTAATATCTGAATATTTCTCCCAACAAATATTTCTCTTTTCTACGTATGTTTTTTAAAATAATTCTCAGGCAAAATCTGTGTTTTTATTTTCTTTTCTGTGGTGACTTCCACAAGGGAAAGAAGCCCATCTTTTGCCTAATACTTAATGCAGATATATTTGGTTGATTGCAATAGTTGGGAATATAAGAAAAGCAGCACAAAGCATTTAAAAGTTGAGATAAGTAGAGAAAGCTGTATAGTGAAATATTACAGGAAATATACTAATTGTATCTAATTTTTAAACTATACTATTTATACACATACATGGTGCATGTATATATAAAAATAAAGGTATATACATAAATATAAAAAACCCACTTCAATTATAGTTTAACGTGGTAACATGGCTATAGATATTTTGGAATATGTTCTCTATTCTTCTCAAATTAAGAGTCAAAATGAGGACTGCTTTTTGCCAGTCCAGGTCTTATAATTTAGGATACGGACCATAAAGGTCTGCATGATAACAAGAATTTCAAAACAGATTCTAAACCAAACGCAGTGAAATCTGTATCCCTTCACCCAGCTGATATCCAGGTATACTTGAGCTACCGGTAAAGTAAGTTTCCAAAGATATTTCAAAGAACTGACAAGGTGAAAACACTGAGAAGTATTCCTGCAAAGTAGGAAGAAAATGAGTTTTAAAATAATCTCCACAGGGTATGTACTTATATATGTAATGCTTCATAATAAATCACTGCCATTTTCCACAGGATGGACCATTATCTGGAAAAAAGCCTCAAGATCTGATCTTCTGTGAGGAAAACTTGTTAGTTGTAGTTTTTGGGTGGTCAACTTACACAGATCTGTTCAGGAAGACCTCTAGGGAGGGTTACATAGCATTTACTCCTATTTCCACTTTGAGGCTACAAATGATAATGTTTCTTCTTATATCTGAACTTGCCCATGACAGCTGCGCCACAACATCTCTGTTGTTTATTCTTCAAGTATTTATTGTCTGCTGTCTTCCTGGACACAACTGCAACCTTTATTACATCATTTGCTCTGCTCAAATTATCCATTCATGAACTATAACTACTTGGCACAGTAAACAATCGGCCTGCACTGGCTGATCACAGCTATACTGTGAGTGGCACTTGTGTTAGCCAGTTTAAAATCTAGTCCACGCATGTCGACCCAGATGCAGTCTATGAAGAAAACAGAAAGAGGAAGGAGCACATGAACAAACACACAAGGGAGGGAAAGAAAAAAGGGAAGGCAATATGGCAGTATATGCCAGACAAGAATATTAGGGAAGAGAAGGTAGGAAAAACACTGTAAGAAGTTTAAGGTCCTCCCATTTATCCATGGGAATGTTACAGTGACAGGCAACATTTTAGCACATTAATATAAGTATTATAGCTTCCAGGCAACAGTAACGGGTAGAGGCAATGTTATCCATACTTCACACTTAATTATTGTCATTTAATCTTTGAAGACATTGACAAGATGGGCAACCTCAGCTTAACGGAGCATAAATCATAAAGCTACATAGAAACATAGTTTTCCTTGATAGAAGCGGATACCTGAACACTATCCTTTGAGCTGGGATGACTCAGACTCTTTTCAACAAGCTAGAAAAAGCGTTCCCAAACACAACACATATTATCACTGATAACGTCAGCAATTCAGGCAACTCAGTGCTTCCAATAATAGGTATCTTTGCTGCCAGAAGATGGAATATGTAACACTTTGCAGTATGAAACACTAATACCCTTCCCATGCATTTCTTAAATGTATTATGTGCAAGGGCACTGTTACTTTATTGACCTGAGTGGGTCTAGGTCCTAATGGGCAAGCAAACAGCATTATACACTGGTTCCATCTGGACAGCTTCTCCACCAGCATACTGTAAGTCACCCTTATTTGACTGGACTTGACTTACCTGGTCCGATACCCACTTTAATGATATCTGCTCCAGAAAGAATAAGTTCTTCTACCATCTCTCCTGTCACCACATTGCCTGCCTAGACAGAAGGAACAATATCACATATATGGGAGATTTCAAGACTACTGCAATAAAGACTAATGATGATAATATGCAGCTTTACCCAGAGCTTTTACAAGTTGAACTACACAGAGTCAGGAAGGATATAGTTCACCATATTGTTCATTGTGCATGCCACAGAGATTACACAAATCATACAGGTACATTCTCAAGTCAAAAAAAATTCATGATTCATCCAGTAAACCCCGATCCTTAAGATCCCATCAGGGTATCTGCTTTGTCTTCCATCCCTCTAATCCTCACCCAGAGGCTCTCAACCACATCAACCCTAACCATAAGGACTATACAGTCAAACCTCTCCCTTACATACAGTACAACTCCTCCACCTCTCCTGCCCTGCCTAGCCCTTCTGAACAGCCTATAGCCCTCCATTTCATTTGCCTACATCACTTTGTGGGACAATGTTCAGATCTTATATAAAATCCTGGCAAATCTCTTTTTCCTTTAGGCTTTAATATTTTGAGTACTGAAAGAATAAGGAAGGTACTGTTCTTGTCATTTTGTATGTTGGTGCCAAAATTGGTATGTACATTCAGACTATGTAAATAAGGACAGTTCTACCATATATATTCATTTGGTTGTAGGGATGCTAGAGGTGAAAGAAAGGGGTTTGGTTCCCTGTGCATGACCTTTGCAGAGATGTAGAGAGCATGCTGTTTATGGTGAAGTCTTCTTATTGGAAACAAGTCCTGAATTGTTTTGTGTTGTTTACCATATTTTTCCCTCCACTTCAAAAGCTCTTTTCCTCCTTTGGCCTTCATCCTCGACACCTTTCTTGAAAGTGATGGCAGCCCTCTCAGCCTTTGTCTTGCTCCTCTTAGTCATCTTCTTCCTCTATAGACCTTCCATGCCCCTAATCAACTGCTTAGCCTTTGTTTACCTTTATCCCAGACGGAATTTCTCTTTCTTGAACCTGAGGAATGAGAACTGTCCGCAGTGGTATCACCTTGGTCTCACCAGGGCTTTGTACAATGCTTGCCTCTCCTATGGAAATATCTTGCTTGACCCACAAGAATGCATTTGCCTGCATCACATTCATGGCTCATAATCACCCTGTGATCTACTCATGCCTTCAGGAACATTTGCCTACTCCGATGTCTCCAAACTGGAGCAGAAACTCATAGCGCTGCACCTGACGTGTTACCTATTTCTACTCTGCAGTTCTTCACACATGGTTTTTTGATGTAGGGGTTACCTCTTCTGTCAGAGCTTCAGCTGGCAGGGAGTATGGGAGCCACAGAAATATGCCATGAGCTACAGCTTTTTCTGGCTCATGGATGCCATGAAATCCAGAATACTATGAGGACAAGGAAACCTACATTTCTTGAACGATGGTTTCCGCAATCTGTATTTAAAAGACCTAACCACAAACTTCACCATTTCATACATTTGATGGCATCAACGCCTGCAGGGCGGAGCCTAAGAGATGTGTTAATGAGGGTTTCACCCCTGAGTAGCCTGCTGGAGTCCAGCTCCACACAGTCACGACCAGCAGATCCAGCCCTCCACCGGCTGGGTGAGCAAGGGACAGGCTGTGTGGGTGGGCTCTGAGCATGAAACTGGTGGTGTCAGTCTAGTCACTTTAGAAATGGTTCCCTGCCTTCTAGGAAAGAAAATAACCACAGTTGACATTAACTGAGCTTCCATTTTGGAAGTTTAATTGGAGAAAGTGCCAAATCAGCACAGACACTGAAAAAGCTCCAAAAGATGAAACACCAGTGGGTCAGTGCGATACAGTTCATGGCACTGCTATCAGTGGGGTAAGCTTTACTCTCCAAGAGTACGACTACAGGTCACCAATTTTTTAAATGAATTCCTCAGGCATTTAGTGAAGAGGAAGGTTGTTGCTGATGACACAGATGTGGGTAAGGAGTTGGCTGGCCATATGGCCATCTGACACTAAAAGGCAACTGCCTCTCTTTAAAAGTCCCTACGCGGTACCTGGAAGATAGCTGCAAAGGACTAAAGATTTTGCATTTTATATGCCCACCTGAAATCACCCAAGAATGTTGATGTGATGAAATTACTGATAACGTTATTCAGATACAAAGGAGCTTCTTTTTTTTTTTTTCAATTAATAAAAGAAACTATGAAAGACAATCTTCTAGCACACACATGGTAATTAGTTTGCAAAATGGGTGCAATGAGTGCAGAAAGCTGCCAGCGTTTATGTCTATTCAGTTAAAGAATCTCAACATTTTTATGCAAGCTCAGCGTGACTAGACATGCCCTTGCATGTGTCCAAACATGGATCTGGTAGATCAGCAGGTAGAGTGAGACCAAAGACGAATTCCCTTGCCAGGAGTGCCCCCTGTCCAGAGGACTTTTAGCAAAAAGACAGTCTTTAAGGAGAAAGGATTTCAAACAACATGGGATTTATAAGCTAAAACCTATGCTTTGAGTTACACTTGGAAACAAACTGGTAGCCAGTGCATTTTCAGACTGTGCTTTCCTCTCTGCAAAGGACTGTGCAAGGCAAATGAATGCTGACATAGCACATCCTGAAACAATTTGCTATAGCTGTACTAATTGCATTCCCACACTGTAGGGGAACACAGTATGGGAATGCAATCCTGTAAATCAGGGCCCACAATTTATAAAGCATGTTAAGGTACTTGAACGCATCCAGAGCAGGGTAACAATGCTGGTGAAGGGGCTGGAAGGCATGTTCTCCGAGGAACAGCTGGGGACACTGATGGCAAAAAACCCACATCACTGACAGTAGTGAGGCTCAAAGATCAAGCCCTCAGCCTGAAGCAGGAAGTGCTCCTAAAATAAACGGTTGCAAATCTTTTTCATGTGAGCAATACCTGTTCATTTCCCCGTGGATTTTATTTTTTTTTAATCCGTGTACTCATTTTTAGAAATACCTGAGCCGTTTCTCTTGGAAAAACATGCTAAAACAGAAGAGCCAGAGAACAACCATACTCTGTCAGAGCAAAGGTCCATCTAACCCAATACTCAGTCTCCAAAGTGGCCAACCACAAATGTCTGAAGGAGAGTGTATGAGCAGTGCAGGTCTACTTCTTCCAGGGTCCTGGGGGTGCTCATAGGCCTCAATGGCTGGGATGGGTCTCCTCCAGGACCCCCACTCACACTGTCTCCTGCCAAGGGCCTAGGGGACATGGTGTCTCAGCTCAGCCTGTGGCCTTTCAGTCCCTGCCTAAGCGATGTTGTAGGTGTGTCCATCTTTGATCCTCTCTCCCGAATGGGCCTGGGACCTGCACTGCAGAGAGCTGCTCTCCTGGATGGACCCTTCACATCTAAGTCATAGCTTGTCATGCAGAGCCATATATACAACATAGTATAACCATTCCATTCCATTCCATTCCCTGTGCTCACCGTGAGTCGAGTGACAATAAGACTGTTATTTGCCTGAAATGCCAAGGGTTTTTCAGCTTCTAAAACACTTTCAAGGACACATATCACAAAGGCTACAAGTGGGAGCAGGACTTTTTTTATTACTATTTTTATTTCACGTTATGTTATTTTACATTATTTTATGCTATTTTTCTGAATCTGTTTCAGAGCTGATGCTCACAAGCATTAACACAATGTGCTTGTGTAGCCAAGAGCAGGCTGATGCATTCTTCAGTTTAGCTTGAAAAAACATCCCTTGCAGTCTGGCCAAGGCAAGTCACAGAGCTACAGAAAGTTTTTAGCAGGAATACACAGGCCAAGCTGTCCCTTTTGCCTGAAGAGTGAGGACAAGAATGAGGACCAGAAGCGACTACACACAAAAGACGAAGAAAAAGAAGAAAAGGATGAGGTGTGTGTGGTACTGTGAGGTATTTTTCAAAGTAGGAAACTTATCAATGGACAAGCCTACTTTTTGCCTTCCAAAACTTGCTCCACTGTGCTTCTTGGCCAGTCATGCATGAAAAGCGCTCTTGTACCTGCCCCATGCTTGTATTGCATGCAGCGAGAGCTGAAAAGTGGCAGCTCCTGATGGTGCAGCAAGCCTGGAGACCTTCCAAGCACAGGCTGTTACGCACAAGCAAGAATCCTGGGGGAAACGGAGCCAGAGAAGAGGAGCAGCACTTGGTCCCACTACAAACTTGCAATGGGAAAGACAGCCCGAGAGAGACAGGGCACAAGTAGCACCTTGGAGGTGCAAGAACAGCAGGCAAGAAGCTAGCCAAAATGACCCAGAGGAGCCCTGACAAGGGTCTGTGCTCAATGCTACAGAGAACAAGAAGCAACCCCCAGGGGCCACCATGGGGGCCCACCCTGAGAGTCTAGAAGACTTCCTCCCTCCAGATGGGGGGAAGCATGAGGACCACCTTTGTGGAGCATGAGCAGCAGGCACCTAGCCAAAAAGGCCCAAAGGAGCCCTGGCAAGGGGCTATGCTAAATGCTGCAGAGGAAGGCAAAAAATAAAAACAACCCAGGGACACTCACTAACCCACCATGGGGAGGAAAAAAACTTCCTCCCCCCTGCTGCAGGGCACAAGAGGCCACCTTCATGGTGCATGAGTAGCAGGCAGTAACCTAGCCAAAAGAGACCAGAGCGGACCTGAAAAGTGGTCATGGTCAGTGCTGCTGAGGAAGGCAAAAAAACCCCAGGGGCCACTGCCAATCTGCTGCAGGGGAAAATTCCTTCCTGATGACAGAGCTGGCAATAAGCTATTCCCTGAGCACGTGAGCAAGACCTGCCTCCTCATCCCACAGGGTGGTCACACCTCCTAGGAGATGCCCGACCCCTATTCTCCCTCAACCTCGAGCCATCTCAGGGGCTTCTGAGAGTGGCCAAATGCCCCCAGCCTGATTGACCTTGGGGGCAATAATCCTTCTGATACCTAGCAGGACACCAGTGGGTATTCCAAAGCACTGGGGATCCCTTGCAACACCTCTGCATCCCATTTGTTACGGCTGCTGCCCCTGGGTCTGCAGGGGATGAGGACAGAGAGCTCTGCAGTGCACTTCAAGTGCTCCTCAAGAAGTCATTCCCTTGGCCTG